ATACGGGATACGGTGCACCATCGTGTCCTCCGCCTCCCCTCCTCAAAAACAAAAATAACGTAAAATAATGAGGGCGCCGTTTCAGAGCAAACATTACACACATGTACCGTACAGTATCAGTGAAACACGTCCTGCAGTTTCTCGTGTTGTGCAGTCAGTTTTCAGATAATTTCGCAGGATATAAATTAAAAATTAATTCGGTGTGGGGCAAGGCGAGACGAGGGGGTCTCTTGGAGCTGCCTCAGCTGGGCGCGGGCGCCGCTGGTGCGGGCGCGGTGGCCCTGCGGTGCGGGCCGTGGCCGCCACCCCCGGCCCCGGGGGCCAGCGCCGCCGCCCGAGCGATGGCGCACTGCACCTTGACCATCTCGGACGTCCGGTACGCGAAGTGGAGGCGTCGGTCCCCGATCCTGGGCGTCACCAGCGGCCGCGGGTATTCCCCGTACCTGAAAGTACAATAAGAGTTATGCCGAACATCCGCGTGCAGTGCAGTGTTTCCGGATGAAGCAGCACACAGCACGCCCTTTGTGTCCCACTCGCTCACTGCCTGCCTACTCGACTTTGACCTACAAGTGAAGTCCCCCCGCGCGAATGAGTCCGTTCTTCTGCTTGCCTGCCTGGGGCGGCTGTGCCCGGGCTGCGCAGGCTGCAGTGCGCCACTTTGGTGCCCCCTCCCCTCCCCTCCCCTCCACTCGGGCTGACTGGCACGCCCCTGATCCGCGCAAACACTCCTCCTAATGGGCGGCAGCCGGCAGCCTCGGCGGCAGCAGCAACGGCAGTAGTGGCAGTCCCACCCTGATTGGCCCACCCCGCTAAACTCCCACCGGTACCGGTAACGGGGAGGACGCACTCACCTGAGGGCACAGTTAAAACCTTGCTTGCGAAAGCGAATGGCAAACCCTTTCGCCACTGCAAAGTATTTTGCAACTTGTTTTGCCATCGCGCTAGATTTTTAACTATTACTGTGAAACATTTCTTCGTAAATTTACAATTTATGTATGATTTACAGAATATGTTCCAAATTTGCGACTGCCCATTCTTGCTAGTCAATATGAATTCGAAGTCGATACATTGTGCTTGTAACTTTAAATTTTCAAGTTGTAATTTTACATCATACATCATGGAAAAATATCCTGTAACCCTTACAAGAATTTCTCACAGTCTTCGGAAGCCTTCGAATCTCTACAAAAAGGCAGTCCAGTTGATGTGAGAGCAGTTTTTGCGGAGTTATCCCGGAAAGCCCTCGTAGTGCCTCGCCTCTCTCGTCCTTAGTCCTCATCTCATCCTCACCTGCAGCTCTCCAGCACGCCCACGCCGCGCCGCTGCCCCGCCGGCTCGCCGCCCGCAGCCTGCTGCTCGTCCAGCATCCTCTGCAGCTCGACCCTCACCTTCTCCTCCTCGCGCGAGTAGAACTTACCAGTCACGGCACCGACTGCATAAAAAAAACACAAAGTGGAGTTACAGAAGTATACACAATATTACGAACTTTTTAATTAGCTTGCGGATTTCTGTCAACCTGCACCGACTGCTTACACATTTTTTAATACGCCAGTGAGAACAAAGTTCTTTATGGCTTATTGAAAAAAAAAATAATGCGTAAGCCGTGCATGTTGACAGACATCCGCAAGCTATATAAATAAAAAAAGTGCATAAGATTTTAGAGCGTAAAATTGTAAGTAGAAAAAAAACTCTGGTAAGCCGTGGTGATTTTGCGTATACTCTGCAAATCCAACAGAGTCCATTGTGCACATTTTCAGAGTACAGGAGCGGTCAGCACACAACGGCACAAAAGAGACAGACAAAGAGAGAGAGAGAGAGAGAGACAGGCAGACAGACAAAGAGAAACAGAGACAGACAGACAGAGACAGAGGACGCAGACATTCATTCAATCTGTGTCACATGCCGTCGCGTTCGCGTTGAGCCAATTATCGCGATAATTCAGTCGGGCGCCTGACGCTGCGCCGGGCGCATGATACGGGCGCGGCGAAACACCAGACCGACCAGACCGCCGATCGACATCGCGCTCGACACCGTGCGCCGAGTCTATTTCGGAGAGAGAATTAGAATAATTAACGAGGGGCAAAAATGCAGCGGCATTTATTCCACAGAGAGGTTACCCCCCCCTATCCCCTATCGCCGTTTTTCAAAAAAAGGTATAAAGAGAAGACTGCTGGGCTGCGCGGTTGACCCCCGCCCCCGGTCCCGCCCCGTTCCATAGGGCGCCCTGGGCTTTCCGGAGCGGGGAAGGGGCGGGCGAGGAGATTAAATTTGGATGCTTCAAAGATTTAGGGGCGTGCCCCAAATTGGGGGAGAGGCGCGCGGTGGCGCACGCACATTTCCCTCCGGACCCCGTACTACACTGTCACAATGTCGGAAGGTATACATTTTCAAAACCAATTGTAAATAATGAAGACAATTCGCATTCCTCGCAGAAATGTGCATGTGTACAGGAAGTTGTAGTGTGCTTGCTGCTGATGGTATCTTCCGATCATTCAGAAGTACGCCCCTTTTCCGCTGTTATGAACCTTCCAGTTCAGCCTCTGCAGACCTCATAGCGCCTGGTAGGTAGGCAACATATCGCACGCGGTGCAGGCGTGTACCGCGGGCTTGCCTACCCCGAGCCTCGCAGGCGCCGAGCTCTCATAATAATTTGCCGAATAAAAATGCGAGTACTAAAACGAAGATTATTTCTATGTGGGTGTATGGCTACCTGGCGCGGCGTTGAGGCATGCGGGCGGCAGTGCGGACCTGCCGCCCACGCCGGGCACGGTGAAGCACAGGCGAAAGGGCGGCTTGCCCCGCTTGGCGCCGCGCTCCGACGACCGCGGCTCCGTGGACATGCTGACGGGCGTGGGGGCGCTGGGGGCGGCGTCTGCGGGGGCGACGGTGGCGACGGGGGTGGCCGGGGCCACCGGCACGGCGTGGACGACGGGCGGTGGGTCGTCCTCCTCCATACTGGCTGGGTCGTGGTCACGGCGGGATACTCTGAATAAAAGATAAAAACGATCACGGTCTAAAAAATTAGCTATGGCACTTTTATTCAAGCGAACACTGTTAAAGTTTTGGTTTTGATTCACATCAGTATATGCGCTAGCCAAAAAAAAAATCGGAGCAGCACCATGATCAGCCCCTGCTGTTTTAGTAATTGCACTTTGGCGGTCAGTCGCCCTTCGCTGGCCTACAACACTGCGCTCAATTTGCAAATTGATGGCATGTCCACTTTTTTTCGTGCCTTAGATGGATCTTGTCCGGGATCTTGTCTCGGTACGGGCGATACGAACACGTCTTAACCATCTCTCCCCCCTGCAGCCTGGAGCGTGCCTTCTCTCCCTTCCACGTGCACCTTCATATTCCAGTACACCAGAGGCTCGGCTCGGCCGGATTGAAATCCGCGGAGCGGCGCGGCCGATGCCGCTATCTGCAGCGGTATGGGGTGGGCCGGATCGGGTGGGGCGGGGCGGGGCGGGGAGGGGCACGGCGGAGATAAATCCGGCATCCCCGTCTGATCGGCGCAGCCCAGCCGGGCCGGAGCCTTTGGAACCGCGCTGGAGCGTTATCTGGTAGAGAACGCCTCCGATATGGCCCATGGCCCATGGCCCCTCCCCTCCCCAACCCACCCTTTCCAACCTAACACCACCATGCCCCTATTGCTAATATTTTAACAGCCTTTGCGAGTCTTTCAATCGACTTTTTTTCATTATTCACCCTCCGTTATGAATGAATAATGCTAATTTTTGTGTCATCGGAAATGCTTTCCGGCCTTGTAGAGTGACGCCGCCGCATTTTGCCTTCAGGCCTGCTCCGGCCAGACCTCCGGAGGGTGAGGGGGGGCCAGGGCCCAAGGGTTGCCGCTGCCTGGTGGAGCTGCGCAAATCTCTCAGAAACGGCGCAATTTCGCCTTAACTCAGTCTCAGCTGCTGTTCTTTTGCCGCATCCAACATTTAGGTCGGGAATGACCCTGCTCCACGCCACCCCGCGCCGCGCGCTGTGCCCCGCCACGTGAAACTCTGCTCGAGAGAGGCGGCGGCTCGACGCAACTTTCTCACTTCCTGATTAGTTTGGCAGGGACTGCAACAACTGCTGACCGGGCTCTGCGGGAGAATTGATTAAACTCATCGATTGCGGTCTGATTAGACACTTCAACAAAGAGAAACGAAAGTTTTGCACGTAGCAGAGAGAGGGCGTGATAGCGTCCCCCCCCCTCTCTCTGTTCGCAACCCATCCGCACTCACTGACAGCGAGAGGACAGTTCCAAAACGACTGAAATATTGACGGCGATCGCTGACGGATAACGTATGGTTTCCTAAGCGCGCGCGCCGCACAGCTTTGTGATGTTTTTTATTCGGGCGATTCGGGCGCGACGTCGCGACGCCTGCAGTGTGCTCTGTGCAGCGCAGCCACCATAACAATCATCTGTCTGTCTCGTCAATGCCCCGCGTTGAAGGACGAGGACGTCCCCCGTCTTGTTTCCCATTGTCGGGGATGACAAAGGCTCCGTCCCGCCCTTGTCCCCCGTCGCCACCCGCCTCACTACTTCCCCCCTCTTCTACTGATAATCAAGATGATTCCAGCCGGGCCATGCTGAAGAGCTCTCGCCTACAAGTACTCTGTCTGCCTCTCTGCCTCCCTGCCTCCCTGCCTGTCTGTCTGTCTGTCTGTCTGTCTGTCTGTCTGTCTGTCTGTCTGTCTGTCTGTCTGTCTGTCTGTCTGTCTGTCTGTCTTTCTGGTCTATTTCCCTCCCTTGGTTGTTAGTGTGGAATTAGCTCTTGCCAGCCTGCGCCCCTGCTCCAGCCATGAAGGAGTGCTGCTCTCAAGCTCCAGCAGGAGAAGGAGAGCCTTCCCTTCCGCTCGCTATATAGTCATAGTCATCCCCCTACCCCTCCCCGCCCCGCCTTGCTCCCATGCTCCGATGGCATCGCAGGGGTTCTTGTTCCTCTTTATCGCGAACTTGACGGTACTAATCCGGTATCCCTACGATTGTTTCCTCTCTCCTCTATTATTCCGTCGGCTCATCCCTTTTAACAACCCCCTTGAGGAGGAAATTGGCACGACTTGCGCCATTTGTTTCGGTGTCCACACTCAAAAAAAAGAATCATTGTACCAACGACATGAGTTGTACCTCCAACAACATTTTGTTCTTGGAATGGCTTCAGAAACATATGATGCTATTCCAACGACCATGGTTGCTGGCTCAACGACATGGTCGGTGGCACAACTACCGGTTGTCGTAGGGTTAGCAACATCGTGTCATTCGACCAACAACCCGGCCGCAAGAACACGACGGTCGTTGGAACAATGATTCTTTTTTTTCAGTGCAAGAATTAAGAGTAAACTGCTTACCAGCATCGGAAAGAGGAGTGGCATAAATGAAAGAGGTGACATTCGGGCAAACGAGGTCAAGAATGCGCTTTCCGCATAGGCCTACCAGGTGGCTGATATGGTTGATGCAATACACCTATAGTGGTGGATTGAATCACAATTTCGGTTTTCCTCCCATAAATGTTGCATCAACCGCTCGCATTTAACGGCGGTCCCCGAACGAACCGCAGGCTGGTTCTTTACACTCTTTTCATTTCTCTGAGTGCGCACGCGGGGATGCGGCCGGCGCGGTCTAGCAGTAGTAGTAACTCGCGGTCTATAACTGGCGGAAAGTGGAGAGCACGCCGGCGATCAAAGCTCCCCCCCCCTCTCCCCCCAAACCACCACAACCGCGACCCCTTCCGAAAGAAAAGCAAATTTACTTGCGTCCCCCTGCGTCTGCTCTGTCACACACGGTTTTGTGATCAGTTCCTTCATCATAACAACGTCGTAGAACGGCTGGAAATAGCATACCCTTAGTGTTGTTTACCGGTCGCTATACACACGTCTCTACGTGCGCGTGCGTGACGTGTCGTTGCCGTGACGACGCCGCCGCTGCGTCGTTCTCTCTTCCTCCCCGCAGCTCCCTTTCTCTCTCTCTCTCCCTGCAGGACACGCGCGCGTGTTCAGTATATTTACTCGATTCGGTCCTGCTCGCGCCAGCTGCTGCTCCGGCCTCGCCGCCTCACTATAGGCCGGTCGCCCCGGTCACTGGTTCTCCACGTCCAGCAGGCGGAACTACTACAAGTCGTCCTCCGTGTGCTCCGGCCCGTACGCCGGCACCGGCCAGCCGCCCCGCCCCCCACCGCTATTGATCCCTCCGCGGGTGCCCTGCCCACCCCGCCGCTCAGCAGTGCGCCCGCACCCGCCTAACCCCATCTGCCAGCAATGCCTTATGCCCTCTGCTGCTACCGCACGTTCTCCCCCCTTGGAAACATAAAAATAAATAGAAGGTACCACAATTTTTTAATATTTTTTTGAGCAAAAGGTTTTGCTGTTTTAGCAAACAGTTAGCTGAAACAGCAAAAGCTTTTGCTAAAACAGCGAAAGCAAAAGCAAAACGCGAGGACCTGAATTTTGCTATTTTAGCAAGCGGTCTTTTTTGTGTGAGTGCGGAGGGAATGTTCTTTTACCGCAGGCTGTTACGCCTGTTACGCTGTCATTAGAAAAATTACAATTTTTCGGAAGTCATCAAATTTAATTGTGAAACCTGATTTGGATTTCTCTTTTGAAATTAAAAAGGAAATGTCTTAAACTTGGAGCCGATCAGAGTCGAAATGGAAATTGCTCG